GCAGAGGGTAACGGCACTCGGAGTGAACTCGCAGGCTCTTCCAGTGACACCAGGAGTCTCTCAGGGGTCCATATTGGGCCCCATGCTATTTCTCCTATATGTGAATTCTCTCCCTGGTGCTATAAAATATAACCACGTCTCTGCCTTTGCTGATGACACCAAGATCTTCAAGTCCATAAGTCTCCATCTGACGCTGCAATACTACAGGATGACCTAAGCAGCCTCGCCACTTGGTCGTCCTCGGCCGGCCTGATGTTCAACGAATCTAGGTGCAAGGCACGACGAATTACCTGGAAACACAATCCTGTGTCTAACACGTACCACATAAACGAGGTTCCTCTTGGCGTTACCAGCGCAGAAAAGGACCTTGGGGTCATCATCTCCGACAAGCTATCGTGGAACAAAGAGGTGTGCTACCAGTGTGCAAAGTCAAACAGGATGCTGGGGTTTGTGAGACGTAACCCCAGGTCTATAAAGAATGCATAAGTGAGACGTGTCATCTATCTAACGCTAGTCAGGTCACATTTCGGCTATGCCACTCAAGTGTGGACGCCCCAGTCGAAAGAATTGATCCGTAAGATAGAACGGATTCAGCACCGGGCTACAAAATACATCCTCAATTTGCCTATCCTCTGCGAGGAATCTTATAAAGACAGAGTGATTAAACTGGCCCTTCTCCCCGTGTCCTACTGGCATGAGATATATCTAGATATGGTTTTTTTTCTTTAAATCTGTGACTGGACTAGTTAAGGCTAAACCTACTGTAATCCCCACCATACGCACCCTCTCAAGAGCAACTAGATCCAGTAGCAACACAAATGAAACTCTATTTGTTCCCAAAAAATGTTAAACAACCACATATAAGGTCTTTTTTCATCCACACAGTGAGAATATGGAACGCTCTAGCAAATGACATTGGTCTTTCTGTAACTATCTCTTTCAGTTCATTCAAGGTACACCTACTCAGTTACTATAAGCAATCACTCTGTAAATCATATGACCCTGAAGATCCTCGCTCATTTAAGTCTATCTGCACAAGTTGCAACAAAGCTCGTAATCTGACGAGAAAGATTGATTGTTGGTACTAACCACTCCTTAATTTTTATTGCAATTTTCATTTCAATTTTATGTGTTCCGGGCCCGCAGTAATTGGCGTAAGCTGTTGCGGAGTCCCTGCCTGTATTGTACCATTTACATTTTTTGTTTTGTTTATGTATATTTAATATTAAATTGGTCAAGTTAATAAAATAAGATAGAGTCGTTTTCTTGACTGATCTTATGACCGATTACAACTGACGATCAACTGTAACTTGTTATTGAACACTCTCATCTCACCAAGCAAGTTTTTTGTTTAAAGTGGGATGATTAGTCGAACCCTGGAGCTCTCCACCGATAATTGGGCTCCATTTATCGCCGTGGCCTCATTAAGTGGAATTCTGTAATTGCAGGTATTAAGATTGCCCTCTGCACTACCTTCCCACAAATGCTTGAAGTGTCGCCCTCGGATTTCGACAAGTTCGAACTGATCCAAAACTTTAGGCAAGTATTGAGCCCTGTTGTATTAGACCTCGGATTTCCTCGTGCGTTTATCACGTGGCAAAACAATCTCTTTGGCGTGGTCTTTTTTTAAGACACTCGCTAACTCGCTCGGAACACATGTTTGCAAATTAGAAATTTAGGATTGACTTTTTTCCCCGCCAAACTCACTTGATATTCTTTACATCACCGGAATGGTGAAATTATGTTCCAATATCCATGCCAAAATATAAAAATGTTTCAGGGCAAATTGTGGAGTATTGCGCAATTAATACCACTGAATGGGGAATTAGACAAATGTTCGGTCAAAGCAGAACAATGCTATCATTCCCATTATCAGACTGCCGAAAATCATAAGGCTTATGCCTGAAGCATAGCTCGAATTTTTGCTGAGTATGTGACGCTGGCCTCTAAGAACCCTTACCCCACTAAAGTCTATTCTTTGGCCGATTAAAGACGCTATATTCGTCACTTTTGCGGTAACAACTTCTAACAGCGAATATTCCCATTCTTAAATTTCCACTTACCGGAATTTTCAAACCACCAAAATCCCGAAAATGTGCGACCCCATCAAAGTCAATCCAATCGTGAAATGCCACCTCATCCAGGGGCACGTCTCCATTGCTCATCTCAGTAGTAAGAAGTAACCCCCCCCCCGAAAGTTTAGTGGACATAACGTGATACGCATCTACCGCAGATCCTTTGGGACGAAGATGTCGACGAGATGTCTATGCTTGCCGAATTATCACACGCTGCGTTTCACAGATTGATTTTCCTTGAGGATAGCTGTAAAGTGATATCTCAATGATCTTTTTTGCTTAAACTTAAACTTAAACTTACAACAGGCAACCGTCAGTCTCTTTTCTCTTGTGCTGGAAAGACACGAAAGAGAGCCGGCAGGACGTGCAGGGAAGGATGTGCTGATTGTATAATGAAGGGCTCTTTGTTCCAAAATAAAGCCTGTATTGAGTCACAATGTTATCATTTGAATCGAAATATCTAACTTTGCATTAGCAAATCCATGTGACAATGTCTCATGTTGAATTTTGAAAATCATCAAAAACGCGATCGAAAGGTATTCGGGTTTTCTGCAAAAAGTGGTCAGTGTGCCGCTGTTAGCCTCATCATATAGTTCCGGGAAGGCATTTTATGTATACATCTAAATCGAATTGAAAGCATACTCATGTTCTTTTGATAACCCACCTCGAAGGCTCATCAAATTCCTACCAGCAAACCGCCGCTCCCATTTATTGCATGCAGTGCTTGTTGAATTTACTAAATTATCCGTGACTGTGGTGATACGAGCTGGAAGGAGTCCTTGCTAATAACCAGACAAAATGTCACCTTTGGCACAATACCCTACTTAAAAAATAGATTCACAACAAAATGAACAATAAGACATTACCAACAAAGGTCATCTTGTGTACTTTTTATTCAGAAAAAACCCGGCTTGGACACCATCGAGCACTGAATGTTGGAAATTTCATTTAAGTAATTACAATTAAGGTTTCCCGAATTCCCATGATAGCTTTATAAATTTTTTGCTGCTAGCTGTCTCAATCAAGCCAAACAAGATCCTCCTCTTCCCTACTGTTGACAATGGCGACTACCCTGGAAATTCTCCATATTTTCATAAAACAATCAAAAACGTTATAGGTAAGTTCAAAGACGAGGCTCCTAGTATAGCAATTACTCAGTTCATCGGCTGAAAATCAAAAATGTGCTCGTATATTGAAGATGATGATAAAGGTGGTAAAACAGCAAAAGGAATAAAGAAAAATGCTACAAAAAGAGAACATCAAACATGAAGACTATAAAAACGTATTATCAAATACAAAAAACTGCATCATAAAATGAAAACTATCCCAAGCAACAATCATCAACTCGGAAGCTCTGAGCTTAATAAAGTGTCTTTATCTTGCTTCGATGATAAACAATACATATTAAATGGTGGGATGCAATCATATGCATATGGCCATGAAAATATACAAAACTAAAATATGGAAAACGACAATGTCACACCAAAGCTGTGGCAAAATTACAACTTCCGCAAGCACCGTCCATTTCACCTGTCCATGGAATCACCACTTCTGTAAACTTCCAAACTCCTAAGTGACGACGGGATTTGGATGGGTTTCGACATCTTCAATCTGGAGATAAACTTTACTGACAAATTTTACTGACAAATTAAACTGACAAACTTTACTGACAATCTTTACTGACAAACTTTACTGACAAACTTCACTGACAAACTTCACTGACAAACTTCACTGACAAACTTCACTGACAAACTTTGCTGACAAACTTTATTGACAAACTTTACTGGTAATCTTTTTGCAAAAATCAGCTTTGAATATATATTTATAAAGATCTCATGATCTCACGAGACTTTCACATGACCTAAGATCAGTAATAATCTGACTCGTAATGACTCGTTTCCTCGAGAAAATCCCTGTTACATCATTGATTTCCTGTTTTTCTGAGAATGTCACGCAATGAAAAAATTATGTGAGGTCATTGCGCTAGTCTCCTATAGTATTTCAACACTTTGATATTATTAAATGATTCCATCAAATGATCCCTTAAATAATTCTATCAAATGATTTCGTTAAATAATTTCCATAATATGGAAAGTGGTATAGAGAGTTGGCGTTTTTGTACGCGATCTTTTTGTGATCTCGTGTCGCCAACTCCTGTACTACTTTAGGTTGAGCGCGACAGGAAACAGAAAGAACATTTGAACTGTTTGCTTCATCACAGATGAAAAGACTACATCATACAATTGAATTTTTCTGATGCTCTGCCTGCGAAATAAACCGACTCTAAACAGAGGTCGAGATAGAGATAGAGGGTACGCAATAAAACCAGATGTCTTTGTGGGTGTAGAATGATACTAGATAAGCTTTTCTGGATCACCTTTCGCTTTGCTTTAGTGTGCGGATAAAAGGATGTGTATCGTATTAGAATATAGAATTAAATCGATGCATTAAGTGTTCAAACAACCTGGAAAACTCGGCATTGTCGTCTACTCCTCTATGTATCTGCTGCACGATCTGACCTGTGTCAATACAGCAGTATTTCAGTATAGGAAAGAAGTTTGTCTCAGTTGCATCAACTTTATTTATTTTGTCACACATCTATTTCATCCATGGAAGATAAATTTAGATCAGGGGTGAATGACGCTAACTGCATTTACCAAATCTAGATATAAAAGTTAAACATCGAACTGCCTCAAAATTTATTTTTCAACTCACTATCGAGTTTAAAGAGCAAATCTATAAAGGAGTGCTCGAATGTGAACGTGGGGTCAAGCATGATCACAAGCTTCGGTGTTTCTATAAACGTACTAGACTTGACCCCGGTCTAAAAAATGAAACATTTAGCTATGTGCTGAAATTTAATGAGCTCCATCTAAGCTCTTGGTGATCTTTGTTAATTTATGTTCGCTGTGTCAAGTATCTTCATCACGGCAGAGGGATATAATTTCCAATATTGTTGCACTGAGATGTTTGCGGAAATATATTGAAACTCACGGTGCCACCAGCAATCCATCGGGACAACCATCTCGTTAAGTAACCTACGTCTGCTCTATTACATGGCGCGTTTCCCGGATTGTTTTCTCTCCAGAAGGCCGTGCTGCGATATTTCAATGTTCCTTTGTCGCTATAAGTACAGCAGGCAGCAGTCCACATGTCTCTAGGCACGTTCACTCGGTAATCGTCGATAGTGTCTTTGTAGTCGCTGAACCCCTTTTTGCCAAAATATCTCGGCCGTTTCGGGGATCCATGTACTGTCGATGGGACAGCACCAACCACGATGAATAACCGAATATTTGTTGCACCTTTCACCTGAGCACAGTTTTGATTTCCCCATGGAATGAGTCGGCTCTCGCAGACTCTCCAAGGGTGCGAATTAAACACTCCAAACTGGGGGACAGCATTGGTGTATGTGAAAGTTGCTCTTTTCTTTGCTTGATTGTTGCGGCCATATTGTGAGGCAATCAAGTGTCCGCGGTGAACTGATGTTTCGACTACTGACCCTCCAGGACAGAGTGGAGTCCTGAAACGTTTTCTGCGTCCACTTGCTCCTAACCAGTCCTCGTCAACTAAGTCCTTACTCCTTATTTGTGTTGTGTAGCAAAGTTTTCGCTTTAAAGCATCTACGTAATCGTTATTTTGTTGTTGAAAACGTGGATCGAGTAAGCTGCTTTGTGAAAATTCAATTTTTGGTCGACCCCCGAGGCTCTTTCCAGTCAACTGGGCCCCATTGATCACGGTGGCCGCATACAGAGGAACTCGGTTATTGCAGTCATACAGAATGCCTACTGCATCACCACCTTCACACAAATACGCTAGGTTTCGTTGTCCTTGCTCGACAAGCCCGAGCTGATCCACACCTGTTGGCAAGTATTGTGCTAAGTTGGGATTCGGGTTTCCCTGTGCATCACAGGCCTCCATAAAGTTGCACTGGCAGGCAGCTATTCCGTTAGTACCAGTCACACTACACTGTTGGCCTTTCACTTTATGCAAGAAACATCCAGTCAATAAGAGGAAAAGTAACCTCGCGGTCGATTTGTTCATGACTTTGCTGCGGGTCACACAAACTGTATTAGCGCTTTACGACGGTATTTGCTTCCAAACTGAGACAAAGATTTCTACCGTGGGAACCTCATTCGAGACCCCTGCTAACTTTTGCGAGACACGTTCAAGGAAATCTAAATGATATAGATCCTTCCGGTTAACTTGGAATTTAGATTGACTTCCCTCCCCGGCAGCAAATTACTTTCTGGGAATTACATGATTTCAAGGTCAACAGGCATGATGAAATCTTCTGATATTCGTGCCAAAATAAACAGGGGTTTAAAAGCGAACCGACAAGAAAATGTTTTTACCAAATTGACTTTGAAAAGTTAGAGTGCTCCACCGTGAACATGATCACAAGCTTCTGTGTTTTTCAATCTTACTGAACTTCATACTTCATGATCAGGGCTTTCTACATCCGGCGTACGCTTACAGCTGACCATTGTGATAGCACAAGAACGAAATTTTAATCAAAGAGCTACTGCGATGGATAAATGACCTTGACTAGAGCTCTGCTCAATGTTTCGTTATCAGCACTCACTACTTTCCGCTATTGAACATAAAAAGTTTGCAAAAGTGACAACCAACGAATCTTAATGGCCGATTTATTGAACTTATAAAAATGTGATTCCTCAGTATTGCAATACGCAACCTGTACTACGCATGACACTACCCATAACTCTTAAGGAAAGCACACGTGCATTCATAGAACGTGAATGATTATATTTCTGTTCTCTCAATCCTAGAATTGGATCGGCTAAAGAGAAAAGATGGTCTTTACCTCTTAAAGAGCACAGTGACCAATTCATTTTAGAGTTTTGATGTGAAAATGATGCCCCTTAAGGTGCAAAAATTTCAAAACAAATTGATCCGGAAGGAAAAAAGGTACAACTCAAGGCATGCACAAAGGCGTTACTCAGAGATATAGTTTGTGACCTTTTGAGTCGATGTTGTTTAGAATTTGCATTATCTCTTCCAAAAGTTGTATGATACATTCTTACATGTGCTCGAGACTACTTAAGTTCTACTTTTAAAACCCTTGCTTTCAGTTACCGAACGATTTGCCTAAACATTTTATTGTATTAATCGAAGCAGTGTTTGGTGGAGAACATTTATGTAAAGTTTCAAAGTTTTCGTTCGTCAACTCTTATTTCTAAGAGGTCGCCATAACTGAGTGGCCACACTTCACAAGCGCTAGATGGGTCTTACAGCCGATGATATCTCGGCATAACTTTGCAATTAGTTGCAACAATTAGTTTGAAGGAGAAGCAGCTATTCATTGTGACCGACACCAGTCGTTTTCATGACTGACCTTATGACCGATTACAATTGAAGATCAACTGTAACTTGTTATTGAACAATCTAGTCTTACCGAGCAAGTTTTTTGTTCAAAACCGAATGATTGGTCGACCCCTGGAGCTCTCCACTGATATTTGGGCTCCAGTTGTCGCCGTGGCCTCCTAAAGAGGAATTCGATAATGCCCACTACGCCGCCTTCCACTGTGCTTAAGGTGTCGCCCTCGCGGCTCTCGACAAGTTAGACTTAGGATTTCACAGGCGTTTATCACAGGCACAACAACCTCTTTAGCGTGGTCTTTTTTTGAGACACCAGCTAACTCGTTCGAAACACGTGTTTGTAAGCTAGGAATTTAGGATTGACTTCTTTTTCCGACAACCTTGCTTTATATTCTTTACATCAGCCGGAATGGTGAAATTTTCCAATATCTTTCTAAAACATAAAGATGCTTCAGGGCAAATTGTGGAGTATTGTGTAATTGGTACCATATTGATGTTATGATGTTTTCTCGTGTTTGTCGTCAATTCCGAACGCTGTGTTTTTATTTCAACGATGTTCCTTCGCTTTACAGGTTGTGTAATCCATGGAATAAACTCAATAATATCATTTCACAGTGCGCGCGCTTTTTTTCCTCTGCCAAATTTAAGTCAATTACGGTAAAACAGTGTCTTTTCTCCTGTATTGAAAAGACACGAAAGGGAGCAAGGCATGCAGGGAAGGATGTGCTGATTGCATAATGAAGGGCGCTGTGTTCCGAAATCAAGCTTATATTGGGTCAAAATGTTATCAGTTGAATCGAAATATATCTAACCTATCCTTAAACGATGCAAAATTACGTATCTATTTCTAACTCTGCATTAGCAAATCTGTGTGGCATTGTCCGATGTTGAATTTTAAGAATCATCAAAAACGGGATCAAAAGGTATTTGCGTTTTCCGCAAGAAATGGTCAGTGTGCCGCTGTGAACCTGATCGCATAGTTCCGGGAAGGTATTTCATGTATACATCTAAATCGAACTGAAACTATACTCATGTTCTTTTGATAACGGACTTCGATGGTTCATCAAATTCCGCCGCTCCCATTTATTGCATGCAGTGCTTGTTGAATTTACTAAATTATCCGTGACTGTGGTGATACGAAGTGGAAGTAATCCCTGCTAATAACCAGACAAAATGTCACCTTTGGCGGATTCCCTACTTGAAAGAATAGATTTACAGCAAAAATGAACAATGAGGCATTTACCAACAAAGGTCATCTTGTGTATTTTTATTTAGAAAAAACCCGATAGGGACACCATCGAGCACTGAATGTTGGAAATTTCATTAAAGTAATTACAGTTAAGGTTTTCTGTATTGCCGTAATAGCTTTATAAATATTTTTGCCGCAAGCTGTCTCGACCAAGCCCGACAAGACGCTCCTGTTCGCTAGATAGAGTTCATTACAAATTGTACTGCAAAATATGTAAGGGCTGGTTATTTAAGCAAAGTTAAATCGTTGTTAAACAAAATCGGGTTCTATGCCATCTTCAATTTAGCCGAACCGTTTATCTGAAATTTTATTTTTGTGGACAGTGTCATGAGGGCCAAAAGCGAATAGTGGAAGGGCATTTATTTCATAAAATCATCCCTCTTATAGAGAATCCCTGGGTCCAGTGCTCGCATAAAATCGCGGTTTGGGTTAGACTTCGTGTAAATAACCAGCCCTGTGTGTAGGATTATCCTCTCCCAATTATTTTCAAACGAGCGTTTGCGCAGAAAAAAAAAAGCTTCAATATCAATCCTGCAAATGAAAGAATAACTGTTCCCCCTGTTTAACATTTGGTTACTTTCAAACTACCTAAGGCATTAATTTCTTGCTGAGTACGTCAAGCGGAGTCGAGAGCAGAAAAAAGCATCCGTGCTTTTTCATGCGGACAGGATCATTCACAAATCCACCTCCAAATGTCTATTCATTGACATTTGTTTGTTGACCCAGTCTGTGACCGCCAGTTACGCTTTAGAACCTATATGTGCGCTGTCCAGATATCTGAACCACTTACTTTGCTATAGACACCTACCACGATCAAACAGATTCCCAGAAGTTGTGCAGATCTTAGCAAAGTTTGAAGGAACCACGATAGCGAGGTATGTTACATCTAAAAGATTAGGTGCATGAACGAATCTCAAACACGACAAAAAAGACTTAAAATAAATGAGTTCAATTCAAGAGAATGAAAACATCGTTAGAGTGCCAGTTTACTCGAAAAGAAAAGGAAAGTTCTTCAGATGCGGAATGATGAACACGTTGGCGCTCAAGTTGAGATAATCTTTTCTGTAATAAAAAATCTAAGAACTTCACTCAAATTTAGCTTTGAATGCAAAAGAATTTGGTATGGGGGTGAGTATAGCAGGATTATAAATCGCTTCATTCAGTTGTTTCCGCTTTTTTAGGTGTACAATTTAGTGTTCCAATTACGTTTTCGGATGAGTGCCCTCCAAATCAGCTTTAGTGAAAATTTTCTTCAATTTTTGTGTTCAAATTCGTCCTCCCTCTCCAGGAAACGGCCACTGTTGTAACCAAAGACATGGAGTTTCACATGGTAAGAATTTAGCAAACTCCACTCATTTATAACGAGTATTTCATCTAACGGAAATTGTAACGTTCGAGCTTCCGAGTACTGTAGGCGATTAACTGAAGGAAACTTGCTATACTTTTCTTTCTTTCGTTGAACATTTAGTTTTATCACTCAGGGTATTTCCACAATTTATGATGGTGTGACTAATGAAGTTTCGACGGTCGTTATTTCGCTATAAGGCCGAAGACTATTGAAAAGCTGAAAGGAAATCACCACTAGTGTTTTCCCCCAAGATCACTATACAAGCTGTGAAATGATCGTCTGGACTTGTGTTATGTATTAGAGCCTTGACTTAAAGCTTTTTTTTCGAAGATCTAATACTTTCGTTCCACATTATGTCTGCGGCATATGACATAGGTTGGCGAAACGTTCAAACATTTGTGCGTGAAGCCTAATGTTAGATGAAGGCGGTAAAAGTTAATCTAGAGACGCAGCTAAACGGTGAAACATTCTTGTGAGATATGATTATGGACAAAAATGTTTGAGCGTTTTTCCGGGACCTGAAAAGACTGTTATGAGAAGCAGCTGCGCCCCTCCCCCTCTTTCTATTTGGGAGTTTGAGGCATAATCGTTTAGCTTGTCATGTGTATATTTGAATACACAGGAACGCATAATGAAGCATGATCTGCTCTTTCCGGCATTTGTGGGTACAGTGTTAATGTTTTTGGTGCTTCCTAATGCGGCGGGTACAACCTTAAGGTAAGTTTCTTGAAGATTTCTTACTTTGTTTATCAAAATAACGTCTGATTCGACATTCTAAAAATACTGGTATAGAAATACGAAATGTCAAAGAAGAGAAAATGCCTTTTTGGCCGAAACTGCTTGCATTTTACGCATTTATGGGACTACTGAAGAATTTTCGGCGTTGATATCTGTAAAGATTGTAAATTGTGTTATGTGAACAGATCAAGAAATAAATACTGTGTTTGTTTTGTTATTCCACATTCAGCAAGGCAGATCAGCCAGGAGTTTCTTTTCAAGACTGTAATGGAACTGACTGGAAGAAAACTTATCCTAACCTGGATTTTGTACTTCTTGGTTACGATATCCTGCAAGGCAATCCCATTGCCAAATACGACCCTGGCTTTACCCATCCAATATTCAGAGCCGACTACTCAGAGCAACGACAAAGTGCGGACTGTCGTTACAGGTTCCCAGCAAGTTTCACAGTTTACCCCAGCCAGTTTTGCTCGGTGTCATTTGCGTCTAGACTAGTTCAGAATAAGAAAGATATGACCAAACTCCTTGGAGCCTCGGCACGTGTCGAAGGTGAGCTTATATCACGTAACCATTAGCAGTCCCTGCTTTTTGGTGAGGTCCATCGCACGAGTCAAAGAACACAAAAATCAGTGGGAAAAAAAACTAATGTTTGCGTGCCGCACAGAACCCCGTGGGTGAAGCGCACGAAAAGTGGGAACTACTGTGAAATTCTAGTCCCAATCGGGCATAACCAACGACATTCCTGATCTTACTGTCCTATCAATCTTTATGTCATCTCAACACGAGGGAGATCTTTATTGAAAAGATCACTTTTTCCCATGCGGGTGTGTACACAGAACTTGCCCTCCCCCCTTCGACAATGTTAGTAAAATTAAACAGTCACTACGTCCTGGTTTATTGTTGGGGAAGAGGGGTGGGGGAGGGGGGAGTTAAATTTTAGTACTATCACGTTAAGTGTTCCAAGACTTTTCACATCCATTGTACCTGCTCAGGCCTTTCAGAAAATCACAGAATGGACTTCGAATCAGAACATTCTAAGTTATTAGATTATTATCAATCAATCCCTGAGACTTACAATAGACCCAGACTTCAATTCAAATATAAATAAAGTAAATGCTGTCCATACTTTAGGGTTCTGACCAAAACTACCTAAGAACTAAAAGTTATTAAGAATTCTTCTATCTTTGATCTCAAGTTGCTGCCATTAATGTCATTATGTATTCAGGTGGAGGAGAATTGGAATTTCAGTTTTCTGCCAGTGCAGACCTCAAAAGAGAAGTAGCTGAAATGAAATCGGGAAAGTATGTGCGAATCATTTCTAGTGCACAGTGTCAGCGTTATCGCAGTAACATTGACCTGGCGAGGCCTCCACCGTTTGATCCAGGTTTTATTGAGTGGGCAAACAAACTAGCAGATTCAAGTGCTAGTGAAGGAGATGTTTTACAATTCATAAAATACTACGGAACTCACTTCTTCTCAGACGTCACATTTGGAGCAAAGTTCATTCAAAGCCACAAGATAAGTCAAGCAGATCTAGAGAAATTAAAGAAGGAATCAATGAGTGTGGAAGCCCAGGCGAGCTACTCGGCTCTATTCAGTGTCGGCGGTGGATCGTCCATGGATAGCGATCAAAGAAACGCTGTAACAAAGTTTATGAAGAATGTAGATTGCACGACCACCCCCGTTGGGTCCGTCCCACCCAGCAATGGAGACGCTGCGACTTGGGCAACATCAGTTCAATCGAACCCTGTCCCTGTTATGTACACTCTGCTTGGTATAGAGAACCTGTTCAGCGATCATTTTACCAGAAATCTTTCACCTAAAGTTAGCTACGTTGGTCTAAAGAAGAAATTGGCTGATGCTGCGTATAAACACTGTCAGGTTTTGAGGAAGCATGGTAAAGTCCCCTCTTGCAGCTTTAAAGTTAAGATTGAAGGACATGGAATTGGATTTGAAGATAAAGGTGAGACTACTTTGGCAATTTTGAGCCTACAGTTAACGAAACATTCAAATATTTTTCCCTCCATTCTTTTTTCCGTTTCATTGGTACCTCTTTGATTACACTGTACATTACACACCTAACCTATTGAGCGTTCAGGAGCACGGATGGAAAAATGATTCAATATCCCGCTGTATTGTAAATCTGATTTCCTCTTCGTTTCATTTCTAAAGCATTCCGCAGACAGTAACAGCGCTCGGTTAAATGCTCAGTTATCGTTTAAACACTAGGATTATTTGCGTAAGTGTTTGATCGCTCGTTCTGTCGAGTTTATGGCGTTTTATGGCTCGTTTTGTCGAGCTTATGATAACTTTTACAATATTAGGATTTTCCTACTTTGACGTTATATCTGTAAAATATGATATCGTAATCAATAGCAGCTCATCCCTCCACCATAGGGTACCGGCAGAGCTGTCTTATCATTCTAATCGAATTTTTCTTGACTCTGAAGTTTCAGAGTACATCCGAGACATAGACAGAGACTCGTGTGAAGAAATGTGTCTTGACAACGCTGATTGCGTGGCTGTTGAATACCGCAACTCTTCTTCAACAACAGTTTGCACACTTAGGGAGAAAAACGCTAATGGGTTTAAAATAGTTAATATTAAGAATAGTCAAATAATCGTATTTCTTTCAAAATTGGCAACTGGAAAAGTTTCTCTGTCATTGAACCCTGCACGCCTAAAAGGAAACGCCTTTTGGAGTTATTACACAAGCACTGAACGAAGATGCATCAGTGAGTGTAAAGAGAGAGCGGAATGTGATGGTTACTGGCACAATCGGGGCAGGTGTCATTTGATGTCAGTTCAAGATATGACAGGGATTGAGTTCGCTTCTTATGAGTATGCTGGATTTCTACCCAGATCTTAAACCTTGAAAGCATCTTACCTCCTATTAGGCACTGGTCATTGATTATCGCTGGGAGGTGTCGGAGGGTTTTGGCTTTGTATGTGTCATGATAAAATTTACCTGACTGATCCGACTGATCCCCCTCCGTTCCCCCTGAAAATCATGTGATCCTTCCCGAAATCCTATTATTACATATTTGAATTTTGTAGCCAGAGATTAAAGTTACTTTCGAGCGCAAGTGTGTGGTTTTGCTTTAAACTGAGGGTGGCATACGTTCACGAGTTTCTCGTGGGCTGGGTTCCATAAAGGGTTCCCCTATATATGAATTTTTTGCAAGAGCTAAGATACCTCGTAAAAATCACAATTTCTGTAGGGTCTAGTCTGTTTAAAATACTTCTCTCTTATGCCACTGGATGTGTTACGCAGACTCATTTTAACGATGAATCCAGTTAAAAATGAAAGGCGCTGAGTCTTTATATTTAGAGTCGTTTATATTAAACGTTCGAAGGAGACCTTAAAAGGATTTCACAAGGGTAGTAAAACACCAAAGAGTTTGATCAAGAATGGAGAGGATTTTACTACATAGACTTCAAATAACCAAGAAATTGAGTCAATTGTGCAATTTTTGTTATCATTTATTTCAAGATGCTCGTTTTGATAATGCACGACTCTTCTGCTTCACTGATCTAGATGAATGAAACATAGATGAAAATTAGAGACATTCTCGTGATTTCACATGAAACATGTTAATTTTCTCATCAAAGAAGAAAGCATCGCTTGATGAAAATGCTAAAATACAAACCCAATTTCAGACCCTGGTTTCACACCCAAACAGTTTACATGCTGGAGTGGATACCTGTTTCTGGCCAAAATGGGCCAATACCTGGCATACCCTATAGCACATGTAGCTGTGCGTAGCCATATAGTCTATTCAAGGAAAAACATCTCCCTTTTGCCGCTTTATGTCTCGGTGCTAATATAATTTTGTCTCTCAAATTTACATCGGAATAAGATGGAAAAGCGACATGCCTCGCTGACGAACAAATTGATCCAACAAAGTGTCAAGATACATGACAGAGTTCTGGCAAAGATAGATATAAAGAAGGTGTTCAATTCTGAGAAGACCAAGTTGCGTCTCTTCAAATCTGTAATCCTTTCTGGACTGAATTATTGCTCAATCGAATGGTTGTTCATATGAGCAAACAAGACAAGTGCAAACTGGAAAGACTGTAAGAGAAGGATCTAAGAACTGTACTTAATGACAATGCATCAAGTTATGAGAACTTTTTAAAAAAGGCCAACCTACCAAGTTTGTACAACAGAAGACTGAAAAGTTCGGCAAATATGATGTTTGAGGTGATAAGAAGGAATGTCTCCAGAGTACATTTCTGAGTTTGGCTTAGCTAAGTTCAAGCAGTAAATGACGGTACATCTTTTGCGAACAACGAGGCACCATTTTTTTGAGATCGAGGAAACTACGCCCGCTGCGACCGAATTTCCCATCGTAACGTATCAAACTTTTTTAAACGTGATGGGTATAGGAGGGAGCTTCAGTTCTCCTTGGAGCATGCCCAGCAAACAGGATGAAAAAAATTGAGGATGAAGTCTAGCGCCTTTTTTAACATGTTGACACCGAAATTAATTCACGTGGAGAGGATTGCTAAGTAGGCGGAATGAGGTATTCAAAACAAGAATTAGAAACTCTCCTCCCCTCATTGTTTTACTCTTTTTGGTTTGTCTGCTTGACGCCCACCAGCTTTTGTGCGCCCACTCTTTCGTTCATTTGGTAAAGCCCTGGCTCATGAGGAAAAAAATGCACTGAACTTTTAAGGTGTCTTACCTTCAAGTTGGCCGAACTAAAACAATTTGACTGTTTAAGTGACTACTTTCCTTGAGTATGTTGAACTGCCTTTTATTATACTTTTCAAGAATTTTTTGACAGCGACATTGTCTAAAGCGCACTCCATCGATTGCAATGATAAGAGGATCGAACTTCATACGATGACAAATCGAAATAAAATTAAAATAATCCCTCGCGTCTTCTTTTTTTATTAACAACGAATAGCGGCTCCCAGAGTAAAATAGACAACGTCTCAAAGGTTTTTTTTTCCACATACAGTGGAATGCGTGCATGTTATTGAATCAACATCGAGTATGAATCGAACTGGCAGCTGTTAACTCATGATCTTTTATATAAATAGGTCGGTTTGTATTGTTTCATCCATTATTAAATGCTGTTATTTGACTCCAACCTTTGTGGTAAACAGAGAACATACACATTGAAGTCCGCTGTTTTTAATGAAGCATGAAAAATTTTGCACTTTTTATATTCGTTTTCTGGACTGCAGTTATGACTTCCACGGCGATTGACGGAGGTGAGTTGCAAACCGATAATCATTTTCTATCTCTGGACTCGTATGCGTATAGACTTACTTTTGAGCGATATAATGAGTAAATTAAATTGAATATAGTTGCCTGCCGAATTCAATAAGCATGATTAGATTACGAAGAAATTTCTGGAAACACCTTTCTTAGACGTAGAATGTTATTCAACATTTGGGTGTTTGTCTTATCTTATCCGATTCTGGAAGAAATTATTTCAACATAAAACCAAATACTTCTGAAGCTAAGAACAACTGACTTCATTCCGACTGACTACATTCCTAATGTTTCCCTCTCAACGATGTTAATATATTACACTACTATAAATTTATTTTGCGTCGTAAGGAAGCACATTTTGCCCTACTTAGCCGTCTCAGAGAACCTAATTTATACAAGAACTATGCCACTATATGAAGTAAAATAACTTTACTGTGGTTTTCATTTGTTTGATAAAATATGGTAGCCTGTCTTTCACAAGTTTGGAAATCAGCCATTTCGTAGGATTGAAGGAAATCTCTCGCCACAGCAAACTTGCCAAAGAGAAAATAACTTGAATGACAAAATCCTTTTTAAAAAAATTGACAAATGCCTGGTGCAGTTTGGAATTTTCTCGAATATTGATGTGTTACGCGATGTCAGATAACAATGATTAGTCTCGGTGCAAATTAGCATGAAGTCGTCTATTCTCCCTAATCATTTCAAAAAGAGAGACACAGGGGACTGCTTGAATTATGTATTCCTTTATTAAACGTCCTATAGAAAAGCACGGTATTTTCAAGAAAATAGATAAATAGTAAAAAAATAGAAAAGAAAGAAAGAAAGATTAAAAAAAAATTGAATTATCAGGCTGATTGTAGAGTTCAAGAAATACCAGCAGTCTGATTTTTCTTAGCGGTTTTTGTCCCATTTCCCACAAGAAAATCGTTGAAAAGGGCAAAAAGCATTATAACAGAACACAGAAAAAATCAAAATAAAAAAATATATAATTACTTGCTATCACTTCTACTGGTTCACTTTCTCTCCTGGGGTTTATTATCATAATACAGAATCTCCATAATTTTATTAAAGAAGTGATGAGAGAAACAAAAACCCATGAAAATAAACAATAATTTTTTAACAATCTTTGAGGCGTTATGTGTCCCCCTTTTGTATTGTCTCATCTGAAAAGGTGCGGTCAAGGCTCCAGATCTCAGAAGCACGCACAATTCGGAAATTTATCAGTTCCGTGTTGAGAATAGCTGAAAATTGACAAATTTTCAAAAAAACGCTCTGTTGTTCATGGGAAGACATATTAAATTTTTAGTTCTTTTTTTTTCTCGTTGCGTTAAGCATTTGTTATCGTGGTGGTTAGGTTTTTTTCTGCTTAGGGATTCTCCAAGTTCGAGTTTTTTTTTTTATACTTTTGCTCGACAAAAAAAATGTTTTCTTAATATGTTTCAATAGTCATAGTAATAAATTATTTTCATTACTAATATTGCTATTAAGTATTTTAAGAAATCTTATTATTATTATTATTATTATTATTGTCATAAGAATTATCATTAATATTACTTGTATATTTTATTTTAGAGCGGGATCGCGCGATGCTGTTTCCAGACTACTTCTTCTTTGCTGAAAGACGTTTGGTAAACCATACTTTTGAAGAGAAACGCGTCAAGAATTTGGATGACTGTGAGCTTTTATGCTACCTAAACGAAAACTGCGTCAGTCTTAACTTCAAAAAAGATCCAGATGATAATCTTGAGAATAATAGTCTAGGACACAGCTGTGAGCTAAATAACGCCAATCATCTGGAGTATGATGGTGATCTGAAAACTGATGCTGCTTTTTACTATCGGGGCTCGAAGGTGGGTGAAAAATAGAATTTACGAATTTGCAGGGGTAACTTCCAAAAACCAACTAAATTTTGCAACTTTCTTGTTCATTCAACCATCGGGTTTTTATTTCCTCGTTCAATCGATCGAGCAAGATTTTCATCTTTATTTTACTATCTCTTTCTTCTCCGTCAGAACGCTTGCAGTAACAATTCCATGTGCCAAAATAATGCAACTTGTCAGTCTGGCTTCACATTTAAGGGATATCGATGCTTGTGCCCTCTTGGATTCGAGGGAGAAAGTTGTGAAAAAGGTAGGTTTCGAATAGTGCAAGATATGACAAAGAATAATCTCTGATTTCAATGCAGGTATGAGAACTGCCCCTTAGTTAGTTAAGAAGCATTAGATTTTTCATATTTGATATTTCCCATTTTCAAAATGAATTGTATTATTTCATTTGCTCGTTTGTCCTCCTGTTTGTGTTCCATTTTGTTTTCTTTGTTTGCATGGGTCGGTTTTCCTTTTTTTTGTCCACATGAATCTTAAACGTTTGCATCAAACTTCTTTTTATAGTCAACTAAGGACAGTATTTTCTATTTCATTGTGCTTCTCCTCTTTTCGTTGACTTATTTGTTGATTTTCTCGACAGATACGGACGAGTGCAAAACAACTCCTCAAAAATGCCACGTTAACGCTGCGTGTAATAACATATACGGATCATACGTGTGCACATGCAAGCCTGGATATGTCGGAGATGGACGGGATTGTGCAGGTGTTAAAAACCTTTGGAATTTGAACTCGATAATATGTATTTGTTTGGTTGTCAAAAGTCAATATTTTTTTCGCTTTTTGAAATCATCTCGCGATGTTGTATTCCATGCAGCAAAGAGTTGACACCTTAGCCGTGGCATAAATCTTCAGCAAAGAAAACAAATTATCCATAATTATTAGGTGGGAGATGTCCCAGATTTTTAATCATTCTTGTCATGTTAGGGGCGCACCATGAATCTTTGATGGTGGGGGTGGATGATGGTGTGGGGGGGGGGGGGGGTTGGGGGGGGAATGGTTTAGCTATTCATTCAGAAATTAATATTTCATAGTGTGTGGTAATGTACGTTCCTGTTACAAGAAGTCTGCTGTCACACAAGTAGTAAAAATTCCCACGGTTCTCATAGAAAGGGGAATTCCATACGCACAGATCCCCTTCGCCCCTTCTATTGAGTTTCCAGAATCTTGTTTTAAACGTCACAATATCATAATTTCTGAAGAAGTATGTGTGTTTTCTTTCAGATATTGACGAATGCAGCGAAACTTATGCAGTTAAAAGGAACAAATGCCATCTGAATGCCTCTTGTTTTAATACGCAGGGCTCATACAATTGCTCTTGTAACCCTAATTACGTCGGTGATGGTTTTAATTGTGAAGGTGCGTTTGACCTTTTCCATGACTCTCAATTTGTCAAGGCAGGTCTTGGATAGACCCAGTCTAAATCATTGCCGTTCAGGGGACCATTTTTGGCCAAATAAATCTAATTGGTCATCACACTAGCTCTTCCTTAAATTTGCCTTTTTTGATGCGCTGTTAAAAAACGCTAATTTGGATATCCTGCTCTCGAAAAACTATGAATAAACTTTCCTCACAAGAGTTGGTTTACGACTAGCTTGATTGCAATACCGTTTTTGTGCTGAATGGTAAACTTCTAGACTTATAGATCGTAAAGGTGAAAAACGTGTTACATATTGATCATACGTCATGATTACAATCCTTTCATGATTATTATTTTACTTTTAAGCTGATCCGTGTTATAATTACAAAAGCCTGAGCGATGCCGATAGAAAGAGCAATCACGAAACGCCCCAGTTTCAAGAGATGTGCGACAATTCACTCCCTGAGGGATGGTATCGTTTTGTGGGAGCTGCAGGAACAAAAATGCCAACAACGCGTGTGCCAGCATACAGATGTGGAACAAACTGGTCGGGCTGGTTAATGACTGCTCATCCTATATTGGAAGATGGTGAAGTTCTCCGGACGGTCTGCTTTAGTGATCGCTCTACTGGTTGCAAATACTCAAATGAGATTTCTGTTAAAAACTGTGGATCCTACTTCATCTACGAGTTTTTTCAACCACCTGGTTGTGATTCGCGCTACTGTTCTACAGACTGAATGCAATGCGAAAACTTCGACGAAATAAGAACAATTTTAAGTTAATTTTCAGGTAAAAGGATTTTACGCAGTCCTTATTTTAAAATAAGCATTGTTTAATTTGGTAGAATCTCTACGCTGGTGACATTCTTTTAAATTGTACAGTCGTCTGTGCCTAGAATTTTTCATAAACAAATCTCCTTAGTACATGAAATAACTACAAGAAGTTGGTTGCTAACAAAATTAGGAACGAAAAAAAAATTTGAGAAAAGAAATGAAAAGGAAAGAAGAGAAAAAATCTGGATTAGTGAAATCTTAGACAATAATGAACATCATTCGGCAAAGTAGATAGCAAGACATGACGAAAGGTGATTCTCAAAGAAAACAGGAAACGAGTTGTTTGGTTCACCTATTTTCTCCTTTTTCTCAACAGTTATCACTGACCGTATTAAGTTGTGGTTTTTATCAGTTGCCGACCAAAGCGTGTCATAATATGAAACTAGTGATATGGGAATATTACGAAAAAGTGACGGAGATACTCTTTAAATTTCTGTTACACTATTTAAAAGTGTCAAATCGGTTTCACGCCTAGACGTAGAATGAGAAAATAAATCGTTTACACATATTGAAACCGGTTTCACTTTTTTTTTGAAACCGGTAGGATTAATTAAAATAAATCGCTCTTAGATTAAATTCAGAATCTGAGGTAATTGCAATAACAGATAAGATTCACAAAGAGACACGGTACAACTTGTATACGTCATGTTCGCAATGAAAAGTACGTTATGACAATTTACGCTACGATTTAATTCGAAAATGAGATGGGACTTTTCTTGATTGTACTGACAGTGTCAACTTGATATTTCCTTTAAAAACAAAAAATATCACGAATATGTAGGGAATGGTGAATTTAAATACTAGCCAGTGTGGATAAACTCAAGTTGTAAATAGTATTTTAAAGACATCCAGTAGCTCGTCAGGAGTTTTGCATTGCACTATAAAACAATTAAGTTGAACTCCAGTTATGACAGTTTCTTGAACATAAAAGTAGATCTGTATATAAAAATCAGCCTTTTTTTCAATGCAAGTAAATCACTACGGCGAAGTTAAGACTTCCAAAAAGGTCACTACAAAGTATTTTGATAATCTAGTACCACTAGGAGTTAAATGGGAAGAAACTACGCAGGATTCCCTTGTTAATTGTGCTTCTCTCATGCCTGATACGGAGTTTATTGAAGGTAAAAACACAGCTTAATTTCTTTTTAAACCTGAACAAATTTACCAGAATATGCATAAACCCTGGAGGGTTTATTCAGAGGAAAGTATTGTCGGTTGAGTCATTCTGCTGCGTCGGCTTTTTTTTTGTTTTTGTTCAATTTGTGTATAAGTTAGCACAACCTCTAATAAAAAGACATTTACCTTACATGAAACGCTTTTTCAAGGAATGGACAGTTAATTTTAAAGGCCTAAAAAATTATTATCATCCTAATTCTTATTATTCTAATCATTGTCTTTATTTTCATAATTATCATTATTATCATAATTATCAGATTATTTTTAATGATGGACAGAGCTGTTCCACACAACCCCATGCTTGTCTTCGCGCGATCTCGTCGCGCTCCCTTGGAGACTGGCACTGAGGACTTAGGAACGAATTTTTAATATCTTTACCTGGGTTTTGTGGTCGTGTATCACATTTGCAAACTTTTCAGTTGTGGCTAATGCTAATTATATCACAGCTTGGACAATTGGAGTATGGCAGTAGATGGCAATAACGTGAACACAAAGATGACTCGTGAAGACCTCTGAAGCAGGAAGGTACATAACGGTGGTCGTAATATATTTTCAAGCGTTGTTATATAACATTCATCTTGTCGCCAAAACCGTAGAATACAATGGCCACTTCTTTACTACTCCTTGAGTCAGATCAGTTCTTATTTTGTTCTTCCTTGTTCTTCGAAGTCTGCCCACAAGGTGGACTTCAATGGCCCTGTAGTGGGTACATGACAGTTGCTAAAATGCAAATCCTTAAGCGGCTGAGGCTTGCCTTCATCCTCTCAGTTTGTACCAGAAGGTTTTAATAGATGTGACAATTTAAAATTGTAGAATGGATGTCTTGGTAAAATTTTTGTGAAACAATACCTCACTTGATGGGAAGGCATCTTCATCCCAGAATTCTCCTTGTGTTTAATTTGGGGGTTTGCTTTGTCAATAATAATGATGATAATAGGTTAGCATAAATTGAAGCATTGTTTGAAGGTTAAGTACTCAGTTGACAGTCTCAATCAAAAAATTGATTTTCAGTTTGCAAAACTTTTGAGAAGCAAGATTTTACTTCTAAATCTTGAGATTCAAGAATAGAGCTTCAAGTTCTGAGATGCTGAAATAATTTTTTTTGGATTAATGTTGATCAGCATTTTATAGAATGATTTAATTCTTGAAACAGAAAATTTGGCAGGCGACAAAAATCTTAACACAGTTCACCAAAACAACCCAGCAAAGCCCCAGGGTAGACCTAAAAATAATGTTAAGTTGCACATATGGGATGCTGGAAATCTCAAAGAGGAAGCCAACAGAACTGATAGTGAATCATGAACACAGAGTTGTTTGTCTCCAAGATCCTCAGCAACAGGCTTTTGCTGTTTAAACCAGCAACTTTCCTAGATGGTCATCACATTTAGAAAGATTAACGCTTTGAACAACCCTCCTTTAATACCAGCTTCATGAACATGGAAGACAATATTTTTATTTTAGTGGAAGACTCCCCCAAAATTGCAAGATCTCTTATTTCTATCTGATTAAAATACTTTTGGTTGGGCTCAAGAAATCTTCAGAACAGTGTGAAATTAAAAGCAATGGAAGAGCTCACTGATGAGATTTTAATAATGAAGGGTGAAGATGTGGATACAGAGAGATGTACCAAATACAACAGACACTTGCCAAAGGTCTTGAAATTAATTTTTGTAAAGTGGCAAAGTTTAGCTTTTGGGTAATAGTTCAGCCACATTCCCTATTCAAAAGTGTAAAGAGCTGATTACAAGCCACCACATTTATAAAATTCATGACCGATGCTTACTTTTACATCATTTAAATGTTTATATCCAGTTACAATTCAAAATTTTTACTCTATAGCTTGTTATTATATAATATATTTAAGTAGATTGGTTTTTATACAGTATTTCTGTAATAGAGTTTTCATTAATAAAAATGATATTTGCCATGTCAAGAGAATTTTAGAGTTAATTTACTGTTATTTTCTTTTTCAGCAGGTTTAAGAAATACAGTGGATGTACACTGATTAAGGCTCAACATGGATAACATTAACAACTCTAATGAGATTCCTGATTACATTGATTATAAAAGGTGAGAATGATTTCATTGGATTGCAGTTAAGAATGTACACATGCCTTACTGTTTATGAACCTGTAGATATTGTGTGCAACCCAAGCTGCAAAGCATTATATACATAAAAACTATGCACCTTGTATATCTTACATGGTTATTAATAACTGTAATCATAAATGACTGTAAATATATGAAAATCATATATGTTAACAGTGATTGAAGAAATGAATATGGAAATGATCCTCACAGTTATGAACACAACTTAAGTAGTAGTGAAAAGAAGGCCTGAAAAAAAAATTCAAGCCTGTATAGGATTTGAACCCATGACCTCTGCAATACTGGTGTAGTGCTCTACCAGCTGAGCAAACAAGCCAACTGGGACCTGGTCATTATGTTGGTTCCAAGTAAGCCCTCGAATTGGTGAATAAATGACTGTAACTATGTGAAAATCATATATGTGAATGTGCGGCTGAAGAAAAGAATGTGAAAGCCATCCTGGCAGTTATGAACACTACTTAGGTAGTAGTGAAAATAAGGCCTGAAAAAAAATTCAGGCCTGTGTGGGATTTGAACCCATGACCTCTGCGATAGTGGTGCAGTGCTCTACCAACTGAGCTAACAAGCCAACTGGGAGCTGGTCATCATATTGGTTCCAAATAGTTACCCTCAAAGTGGTGAATAATATATAATATAAATAATATAGTTCACATATATGATTTTCATATATTTACAGTCATTTATTAACCAGCTTAGATGGTCATGGGTATAAATCAGGGAGGGGCCTGAGTTTTTTTAGGCCCTATTTTTACTACTACCTAAGTAGTGTTCACAACTGTAGTTATGTTGCATATATTGAA